TGTGCAGCGATTTCCAATCGATAGGTTGCGGGTTCGATTCCCGACGATTATGGTCACACACGTCTTTCTTCTCTTTCTCAGACTCTTCCTGACTTTTCTTTCATTCTCCTGGGTGGTTACCAACAGCCAGTGCATGCCGGAGTATGTGGTGTGATGTGTGTGCGGGAAAAAAGAAGAAAAAAAAGACCAAAAAGTAGGGATTCACTGGCCAGAAAAAAGCCACTTCAAAGCTGTGTGGTGTAGACCAGGCTGAATAGTGGTGGTCAATTCTTCAGCCTTGCAAGCTGTTGAATGGTGCAATCCCAGCACAAGTTGCTATGGCTTCTGCTGTAGCATCGCTATCATCGCCTCTGGCGATGGGCGTCCAATGGTCCAATGGTCCAATGGTCCAATGGTGTGTGTGTGTGTGTGTGTGTGTGTGTGTGAAAAAACACACAAGAAAAGAAAAAACAGTGTGTGTTTCTCTTGAGAGAGGAGGAAGCAGTTTTTGGAGCTCCGAACTCTTCTTTCTTCGTAGTGAGTTTAGGGCCACGGGCTGGCTCCTGGCTTCTGCCAGGGCCAGCCCTGGTGAGTAGGAAACACTTAGTGACGCGGTGTTAGACAAGGCAGTCTTCATCTTGCTGCCGCGGAGGAGGAAAATTCAGCGTTGACGACATGGCCACTTCGGATGTGACCACTCGCGCTGACCCTCTTTCGCCTGGGTGTAGAGGTCTTGCAAACCCTCGCCCAGAGTCTTTTCACTCGCGTGCACCAGCGGCTCGAAAGGTTGTTCTGTCTCTGGGAACGTGGAACGTCAGGACTCTTGTCGACACTGACGGAAATTTGAATACGGCGTCCAAAGCAAAAAAATCAAGGAAAGTTTGTTCGAATATTCGCGAGGAGAGAAAAATTGACCTTGTGTGTCGTCAGCTCAAAAAGTATGGAATGGACATCGTTGGCCTCCAGGAGACGCTTTGGTTTGGCTCTCATCAATATACTGTCGGAGATTGCTTAGTTTTGACAAGTGGTCGCCCAACACCGACTGGGGATGAGCCTGCTCGTCGTGGTGAAGGGGTTGCTGTCGTTTTGCGAGGCAGATGCAGGGAGGCATTTGAACGCGGAGGCTCTCGCTGGACGGCGGTCAGCTCCAGACTCCTGTCATTGCAGGTAAAATTCGTATGTGGTCGGAATCAGTCTGTGTCTTGCCTGCACTTCGCTGTGGCGTATGCCCCCACGTTTGTCAGGCCCCGTGAGGAGAAAACTCAATTCTACGCAGATGTCCAGTCCTTCATTGACAGTATTCCCAGGAACGATCAATTCGTCCTTCTTGGTGACTTGAACGCCCGTGTTGGCAGTGCTGGTGCGGATGGTGACTGGTCAAGTGTCAGAGGCCCTCATGGTTTTGGTCGAATGAACTCAGCTGGAGAGGATTTGCTCAATTTCTTGTCCAGAAATGGTACCCTCATATGTAACACGTGGTTTCGGAAGAATGATGTTCATAAGCATACCTGGTTTCATCCTCGATACAAACAGCCTCACTGCATTGACTACTGCATCATTCCTCAGAGCCGACGCTCCCAGTGTATTGATTGCCAAGTCATCCGGTCTGCGGAATGTGATACCGATCATAAATTCTTGGCTATGAAATTGCGCCTGGCAGAGAATCCCTGTTTCCATCGTACCCGTGCTGTCATCAGAAAACCCATTGCTGTGTCCAAGCTGTTGTGCAAGCCTGGCGGAGATGACGAACCGGACACTCGTAAGGTCTTTCGCGACATGCTGGATGCAGAGTTGGAGGGAGCCTGGTCGCATGAGCCATCCTTGGATGACTGGTGGACTACCATCAAGACAACAACTATCAAGGTTGCAGAGGATTGCTTGGGCAGAGAGAGCCGTAGACAGCCGGAGTGGTTTCGGGATAGTCAGGCAGAGCTTGAACCTTTCCTACTGGAGAGGGATCGGCTGTTTGCTGTTTGGGTGTCTACACGCAAAGTCAGTGATTGCAATGCCTATAAGTGTGCCCGCAGCTCCGCGCGGAGGGAAGTCAGACGCGTCAAGCAGGAATGGCTACTCAACAAGGCCCAGGATTGCAAACGTTTCAGCCTCACGTCCAAGGGTGGCTGGGAGTGCATCAGACACATCCAGGCTGCGTTTCAGGGACTAAAACCGAAGGTCACAACAGCGATCAAGAATTCAATGGGACAGGTTTGTGACACCCCCGAGGCCACGAACATGCGGTGGCGGGAGCACTTTGGGAGAGTTCTCAATATCGTCAGCGACTTTGACGTGGAAACCCTCGACTCTATTGACCAGCGTCCGGTCTTGGGGGAGCTTGCGGATGTTCCCGACCGTGTGGAGATTCGTAAGGCCATGCAAGCACTGAAGAACGGCAAAGCTTGTGGTAGCTCTGAAGTCTTTGCCGAGATGCTGAAGTATGGTGGTCCTGTTCTACTGGGTAAGCTGCAGGCATTGCTGGAGGAGGTATGGCGAGCTGGTCGAGTACCGCAGGATTGGGTGGATGCCATCCTGGTCCCTATCCCCAAGAAGGGTGATCTGAGTCTGACTGATAACTGGCGCGGGATTGCCCTTCTCGACGTGGTTGGCAAGCTTGCTGCACGGCTTATAGCGGACCGTCTGCAGCGTGTTGGGGAACAGTATCTGCCTGATTCTCAGTGCGGTTTTCGCAGAGGCAGGGGCTGCTCGGATATGGTATTCTCTGTTCGGCAAGTCGCGGAGAAGTTGCATGAGCATTCTTCCAAGGGATTCGCAGTATTCATTGACCTCCGAAAGGCCTATGACTCGGTGCCGCGGGCCGCCTTGTGGAGGGTGCTTGCAAAGCTTGGCGTACCAGAGGTGCTGGTTTCCGTAATTCGATCGTTCCATGTCGACATGTCAGCATCTATACGCATTGGTGGCGAGCTGTTGGAGCCGATTGCGGTGGGGAACGGACTGCGTCAAGGATGCACCATGGCCCCGATTCTTTTCAATTTGTACATGCTTGCTGTTGTCGAGAAATGGCATGAAGCAATAGCTGGTGACGACGAGATTGGACTATCAATTTGTCAGTTTCGTCAGGACAGACTGTTCAACACGCGTCTCCGAGCATACACCAGGGCTCCACTAACGGAATGCCAGTTTGCGGACGACTCTGCACTTCTTGCCAAGACTCACCCCGGTGCAGAGAGAGCACTCGCTGGGTTTGAGACTACTGCTTCTGCCTTTGGGCTCAAGGTTAACATGGCCAAGACAAAGTTCATGGCTATTGGGACTGGGGTGGTGAACGAGGACATGGCACCTTTAAACGGCACGGTGGAGCACGTGCACTCCTTTCGTTATCTTGGATGCCATGTGACACCGGATGCCAGGTGTACCTATGATGTGTCGCGTAGAATTGCTGCTGCATCGGGCGCTTTCCACAGTTTGAAGGATGCAGTGTTCTACAACTCGGACTTCACCATCGGCATCAGGCGTGTAGTCTATGGCGTCACTGTTATGGCTGTCCTCCTGTATGGTTCTGAGACTTGGACAACACGGCAAAGGGACCTGCAGCGGCTTGACGTGTTTCACCATCAGTGCTTGAGGATGATCTTGCACATCGGTCGTGCACGCCAGATTGATGAGCACATCTCCAATTTGCAGGTGCGGAAATGGTGGGGCGACTTGGAGCAGCCGGCTGACAAGATTCGCAGGCGGCGGCTGCAGTGGCTGGGCCATATGGCACGTATGCCGAGGGGCGACCGCATCCCTCGTCAGCTGTTGTTTGGCTCCTTGCCATCGAAGCGCCCACCCCATGGTCCGAGGAAGCGATGGAAGGACGTGGTGCGGACCGACCTGGCGGCAATTGGCATTGAGCCCAATTCCTGGCTCGACGTGGCAAGTAATCGCCGTGAGTGGAAGTCCCAGTGCCTTGATGGGGTGGATCGTATTGTACTTGCCCGTCAAGAGCCTGTCGACAAGCCTCTGCTTTGCGGTGTGTGCAACCGCAGTTTCCGCCGCCGTCAGGATATCGCACGGCATCGTTGTACATCGCGGCGTTCAATAGCAATTATAACCCGTGGGAATGCGCCGTCACGTCAGTCGTCGGGTCCTGGTGCCGCTTCCCGGAGACAGCGCTAATCCAAGAGCTGCCCCGTATGGGGCCACTTAGCCAGTCATGGCAGTGGAGAAGAAGAAGAAGGTGTGTGTGTGTGTGTGTGTGTGTGTGTGTGTGTGTGTGTGTGTGTGTGGTGGTGGACCAATTCACCTACCTTGGCAGTGTGCTCTCCTCGGATGGTCTTGCCTGTGCTGATGTCCGCTCTCGCCTTGCGAAAGCCTCAGCTGTGTTCGGAGCCCTCAAAGCTCCTGTCTTTGATAACCAGACCCTGTCGCTTCGCAGCAAGAGGCGTGTCTATGAGGCTGTCGTCCTCACGACCCTCTTGTATGGTGCGGAGACGTGGACCACCAAGGCAGGCCACCTCCAGAAGCTAAACACGTTTCACCATCAGTGTGTTCGGTCCATTGTGGGTATCGGCCGTCGTCAACAGTGGGATGATCGGATCTCAACGGCCACATTAGCAGCTACATTCGGTGTTGACCCTGATATCACCCGCATCATCCGTCGCCACCGGCTTCGTTGGCTGGGTCACGTCGGCAGGATGGACGACTCACGCGCACCGAAGCAATTGCTGTTCGGCGAGCTGCCTGCCCCCCGTCCTCGTCACGGCCCGAAGAAGAGGTGGCGAGATGTGGTATCGACTGACCTGGCGGACCTCGGCGTGACCACCTGGCTTGAGAGTTGCCAAGATCGTCCCGGCTGGAGACGAGTTGCGAGTAGCACCCCACCGCCACGGCCCGCTCCTGATCCTCTTCTATGTGTCTGTGGACGCCCATTTCGTCGACCAGGAGACCTGAAACGACATGCCAAGTTCTGCGCTCGTGTTCTCACTTGAACTTTCCGACATTCGCTATCATTGCGTACGCAATGGGCAAGATCAAGGTCAAGGTCAAGGTGTGTGTGTGTGTGGGTGTGTGACTTTTAATGTTTTCATATTATTGTTTCTCCTGACATGATGTGTGCAGTGGCTACGACTGTGTATTGTATACTGATGTATTATGATTGTGTTGTGCCAGTCTTTGTCACTTACAGTGACCTGTAGAACATGATGGGGACAGTGACTGTGTGACTTGCAATGGGAGTGCTTGCAGGCAGGCTTGGAGCTGCAATGTTTTCTGTGCGTATATCAGAGCATGGATGCTTGCAGTTTGGGTAAGGCGGTATGAATGTTGGTTGTGATTATCGGAGCATGAATGTTTGATGTACAGTGACGTGTACATTGGAGCAGAAATGATGACTGTGCATCGGAGCATAATATAATAATACACAGTTGTCTAACATCATGCTGTCTGATTGGTGCTTATACAATGTATAAGCTAATTTTAGGAAATTAGAGGCCACATGCCACGTACTGCTCCTTTCTCTCCGAAACTCAACACTTGCAAGCCAGACGCACAGGAGTAACAATGATTCCGAGACCTTTGGTCGGAGGAGTTACTTTTGCCCCGCCCCCACTTCCATCCAATATGCCACCGCCCCCGCTGTGCAGCATCTGATGGTACTGTGGTATTCAGTAAAAAAAAAAAAAAAAAAGATATGAAAGAAAGAAAAAATCATCAGTCACACCACCGGGACTCGAACCAGGGACCATTTACTAATAATAATATGTTATTTATTATTATTATTATTAGACACAATCTCATAGCATGTGACAAGCATAGCTAATGCAGGGACAGAATCCCCTGAGACAAGGGCGTTGAGCCAGCCACGGCAATAGTAAGCTAGGAAAACAAAGCAAATATGAATTAAAGCAGAAATTGAATGGAAAATTACAAAGAAAAACGATTAACGGAAGTGAGCACTATCAAAATTCGTGCATCACCCAGGTATTCGAGAATGTTCTTCGATGATAATTATTGCGTCTAGTTCAGTTGTGATAGTAGATCTTTAAACTGACCAATAGAAGAACAAGTTTTCAGACCGTATGGTAATGATAACCAATGAGAGTAGCCGGAAAACAAAGGGGACTTTAGATACTGGGCTGACTTAACAAGAGGCAGGGTGAGCGCGTTACGGGTTGAGCTTGTCGAAAACCAATTGTACTTCATCATGTGTGAAGGGGTTTTATGAAGAAATATTTTATGAACCAGTGTACAGAGATGGTGCTTATGACGAACGGAGAGAGGAGAAGTGTGTGCAAGTCGATAAAGGGCATCCGAAGTTGACTGGGACTAGAACAGCTTGCTTGTGGACTGCGCAGTTCTGGAGCAAGAATTCTGCCTGTGCGTAACTACCTATATGTACTTGTAGGAGAATGACGGTTGACTTCACAGTTTCGGAGCATGAATATTGGGTACGCAGAATGGCAGCATGATTGTCGGCTGAGGAGTTTCAGTGCATGAATGCTGACCTTTGGTATTATAGCATGACTGTTTGTAGATGCAGGTATTATGAGCATGAAGGCTTGCTGTTGATCTTGGACACACTGACCTGAATACCTGCAGTATGAGTGATGGTTGATGATGATTGTAGTGACCAGCTGTTGCTTAGCAACTGATTGAATTGGTTTAAACGCACTTTTTCTCTTTTTGATAGCCATTTTCGTAAATGAAAGAGTCAACACAAGCAAATGAATGAAAGGGAATTGGTCAACTCACCTGTCATAGAGTAATATTCCGTGAAAAGAGGTTTTCAGTAGAGACTAGGCCTTGACGGATTATGCTAATATTTTCGTGAAATTATGCTTTTCGCATTGCTGAAAAAAATTGCAGAATTATGCTATTTTTATGCTAAAAGTTATACATATTATGCCGCATTATGCTCACGTATGCTGCTAATGTATATGATGGTTCTGTGCAAAATAACAGGGGAATTTTTTTGTGGAGGGCGCTGTACTGTAGTAGCAAAAGTTCAACGGGGTCAATGCACCGTCCGACCTAGCTACGACCGTAGTGGACTGGACATGTTATTAAGGGAGTCGTAAACCTACGACTTCCTGGTGCATCAACTTGTACTTGTACTGGTAGAAAATGTACAACTGTATGGAATTTGATGCGAACAGGCGGATTATTCCAATTTATGCGATTCGTATGCAATTTGCCTCGAATTATGCGATTATTCGATTTTCAAATAATCTACGTGGAGATAAAAGTTTAATAATAGCTATGAAAAGTATGAATGCCGCAGACATCACCACGCAACATGACAATTTGTTCAAGGTTTGGTTTTGTGTGTTTCCAAAATCGATTTTCACGCTCCGATCATCAGTGGAAATACGGAACTAAAGAGATCAAGGGAAAAACAAAGGTTAAAGGGGAAGTTAAGGCAAAAATTAAAATTTCACCAATTGTAGTCTTCGGGGTGCTGAGTCGAATGGTCTTGGTCCGAGAAAGCTGAGACGCTCCCTTCCTACTTGAATCCCAATCGAACTCGCGCACTTCCACCGAAACTGGGTGACTGCGCCCTACGAGATGGGGATTTGTATGCAAAATGTCACTAAAAGCGCCATTTCGTTCTTATAAAAGCACGGATGACCGCGATTGGCCCATATGTTGTAGTCTTTTGGACGCTGAGTCGACTGGTTTTGGTCCGAAAAGGCTGCGATGCAGCGTTCGCCCCTAATTCCCAATCGAACATGGTTGAAGAAGCGGTCACGTGCTCCTGCGTACACCAGTCACCTGGTCACCGTGCCTGCAGGGTACAACTTACAGCCTGTTTTGACCTTTTTTGGGTGCAGTCCTGTCACTCGAGTTGAACCTTGGTGTGAAAGTTGTCGCCTGCTGGCGTGGTGACCAGGTGATTTTGGCACCCAGGAGCACGTGACCGCTTGTTCAACCATGTTTGATTGGGAATAAAGGAGGAACGCTGCATCGCAGCCTTTTCGGACCAAAACCAGTCGACTCAGCGTCCAAAAGACTACAACATATGGGCCAATCGCGGTCATCCGTGCTTTTATAAGAACGAAATGGTGCTTTTAGTGACATTTTGCATACAAATCCCCATCTCGTAGGGCGCAGTCACCCAGTTTCGGTGGAAGTGCGCGAGTTCGATTGGGATTCAAGTAGGAAGGGAGCGTCTCAGCTTTCTCGGACCAAGACCATTCGACTCAGCACCCCGAAGACTACAACTGGTGAAATTTTAATTTTTGCCTTAACTTCCCCTTTAAAAATCCAAAGAAGTGTGACACATGACGGGTAACTTGTGGTAAGTATTACAAAAAGTGAGAACTAAAATAAAGAGTAAGTGTGACAAACGGGCATGAACAGTGCAGAAACAACTCATGAACACGGGGTGCAAACTCACGAAAATAACCTAAGTGCTAAAACATGTTCTTTTTGCTTACACAAATCGGGCTTATGCGTACGAATACAAACAGCTTCAAGGACCTTCAACTGCTGGACACAACGGGCACGACACAGTACAGAGAAGTGGGAATCATCATACACACTCAAACAATCGGGACGAGATAACAAATGCAAGTACACAGCTGACTTCTTACGAACTTCACCCTCATCAGCTCCATCACCTTCCCTGCCACCTGACTCCTCCTCGTCCGTTTTATCACCATCACTGTGATGTTGCAGGCCTCCTGGTTAATACTATATTATGTATATAATAACACATGGTACGGAGGGCATTATGGCTGACTTATGCCCTAGTGCGTAGCCCGAGGTCGTGCACCGTAGCCCAAGGGCCGCAGGCCCGCGGGCTACGGTGCACGACCGAGGGCTACGCACTAGGGCATACAATCAGCCATAATGCACGATGCACCATGTGTTTATTATTATTATTATTATTATTATTATTATTATGAAATGACCCAAAGGCAATGTGCCTATCGAGGGGTTCATTTGATTGAAAGAACAGTAGATGTAGATGTATGTACAAAGAGAAGTAGGGATTGATGAGGAGAGAAATGGGGAAAATCAACTGCAAGGTGGCGCAATTCCGTTGATTGCATAAACATAGTCAGCTGTAAATTTCCTGAGGGCAGCTTTGAACTTATAGAGCGAGGCTTCCGATGTTAGACTGGGGGGTAAACAGTTCCATAGAATAGCAGTTCGGAACATGAAGAGAGACTTAGACAATGATTTAAATTTGGGAAGAATGATTATATTTGGTCGTCGCTCACTATTCGTAATCTTGAAATGGAAATCAGCAAGGTAATCACGATGATGGAAAACATATCTGTGAAAAGTAGTGAGACTGATGATTTGACGACGATAGGCTAGTGACTCTAGGGAGCATTTAGAATTTAAGACAGATTTGGAAGAAGTGTAATCAAATGCAATTTTTTTCTTTTTCAGTAGAGCTCTAGCAAACCTTGCCTGTAATTGATCAAGGGTGGTCATGGGTTTCTTATTAGATCCAAACGACCACACCGTACAGCTATATTCGATCACAGGTCTTACGAACCCTTTGTACAGTATGATCATTGCCGAAGGCGTAAGTTGCTGGGACATAATTGACAGTAGGTGCACTCGATATCTGAACTTCGAAGTTATTGAGGCGACATGTTTGCGGAAATCCAGGTTGTCGGTCAAGGTGATGCCAAGATGTTGCAGGTCAGAAACCACCGTTAATGGCGCATTGTACATTTGGTATTGGATTCCTGCAGTAGGTGTATCATTGATAGCTCTATGGCACAGCACGGATGTCTTGCTTGCTGAGAATTCACCTCCATTGTTCCTGCCCCATGTTTGACATGCATCGAGATCAGACTGCATGTTGGCTCTACTGGCGAGGGTGTCTTCAGGTTTGTAAGCCAGTAGGAGGGTGACATCATCTGCAAATAGATATTGCGTGCAATGTTGCATAGCGTTGGGCAGGTCATTTATATAGAGTAGGAATAGGAGTGGTGAAAGGTGGGAACCTTGAGGCACTCCGCAGTTGATGCTCCGCTTCTTCGATTTAGTGCTATGTACCTTCACTTCAATTTGTCGATCCCCTAAGAAGCTCTTCAGCCATTTTACTGACGAAGCTGTAGCAATCTTACCGAATTTCTTTAGGAGTATAGAGTGGTCGACCCGGTCGAAAGCTTTCCTGAAATCTAGAGATATCAGGTCAAAATTAGTGCCATTATCAATATTTACAGCCATTGATTGGGTTAGCAAGATAAGTTGGTCCGTTACAGACTTGTTGCGTACATATGCGAATTGACCTTTACAAATTACACCCTGGGTCATCAAGTATCGAAGTAGACGTTCCGAGAGAATCTTTTCCATTAGTTTCGCTATGCATGGGAGAAGGGATATAGGTCTGTAATTGGTAGGCTCTTTGGCGCAACCTCTATTCTTGTACACCGGTATTACAGTGGATGATTTCCAGGAGGACGGGAACACACCATCATCAAGGCTGTAGTTGAACAATACTGATAGTGATTGGGAAAGGATATCTGCGAATTGCTTTAGTATACGGTTTGTCAGGTTGATGTCTGATGATGATTTATGTTGTTGCAGCCTCTTTGCTGCATCGAAGACTTCAACAGGGCGTATGTTTCCGAATCCAAATTTGTTTCCATCGACGTCGGCTTCATTGATTGTTATACTAGTTGCTACAGTATTCGGCGGCGTTGACTGAGTGGTGCATTGGCGGGCAAAGAAGGTACACAGCGTTTCGGCCTTCGCTTGATCTGTTTTGTGAATTTCATTGCCGTTCTGCAGGTCTGGAATTGCCTTTTTATTTGTTTGGTCAATATTGCATATTGCTTTGGCACGTTTCCACCACGCATAGCCACCCTTTCTTTCCTTGCCAAGCATTGTGTATCCGAGCGTTGACAAGTATGTGTCCTTGGCGGCTCTTAATGACCGGTGGTACAGGTTGCGCGAGAGTTTGTATGCAGCTCGTAAGGAATCGTTGAGTGGCTCCTTTCGGTGGAGCACATAGAGGCGGTTAGTTCGCTGACGTTGCGTCTTAAGTTTTTTTGTGAACCATGGTTGGTTCGACTGGGTGTTTTTCCGGCGTGTGATGGTCGTTGCTGCCTGAATTGCCTGGTCCAGCAGTGCAGAGTAGGCCATGCATCTGAAACTGATGTGCACGTTGGTGCCCTGCATGCATTCGGTCAATGGTAGTGTGCTCAGTTTCTGCCTGAGGAGGTGCATGTCAACCTTTCTGGAGACTGCGGCTGCGTTGACAGTACTTCTAGAGTGGCGTTTCTCTGGTGGAGAATATGCGCAAAATAGAGGACAGTGGTCTGCAATGGGCATGGATGTGTAACATGAAGTGACAAGATGGGGCATATTAGTTAAAATCAGGTCTAGGGACGGATTAGAATCTTTAGTTGGCCTCGTTCCATGGTTCTTGGAGACCATAGTGAAGCCATAGTCGTCAAAGGCGGACTGCATGTGTCTACCTGCAGTGTTCGTAGGGTCTGCGTTGTTCATACATGCTACGTGCCTAGTTGTAGACAAGTAAGTAAACATGGTCAAGGGCCAGGGATCGGGAGGAGGAAGGTTCCAATCAGCTGTCATATGTATGAAGGGTCGAACAAGATCGGAAGGAGCTTTCTCGGTGGAATGATAGAACGGTTTGTGTCAGATTTACTTGCAGTTCCAGGAATATGTCTTTGCATTTTGGTGTTAGTGTTGCCTGTTGGGCGGTACGAACGTTAGCTGATTCGCTGCTGCTTTGGAGTTAACGTTGGCCGCAAACATCCTTGACCAAGTGGCACTAGTAAATAGACTAGCTTTGAGAGTACATTGTAAGTGTTCTTATTCGGAACAATGATACTTTTCACACAAATGTACATCTGAGATTTTGTTCGCATTGCTTTCAGTTTACTTGAGGTCCATTATGTACACTGGACAATCATGTAGCTAGGTACATTTGAAGTACATGTACATGTAGATGTAACTGTATATTTTGTAGGAGTTCGAGATACAATCTGATCACTTCCAGATAGGTAACTTTGTGATGCATGTTCACCTGTCGACTTGTTCGTCTTAATTGACTTGAATTTAGTAATGCATGGTAATGACATGCTGTGTGTTATTGTCACGTTGTTATAAATTACTTCTCCAATGTCGACATTGCTAGTAAAATATAATTGTTTTGGACGGTGCACGTAAGTAGTTTCGTTTTGTGTGGTGTGTGCGAGTGCATGTGGTGTCCTTAGGAATGGTCCCAAGTGTTCTATGTGCGCTGGAGTGCTGCCAATTATGTACCAGGTCACTGCCCAAAAGGCATGGCTTGGTGCATATTTGGCAGTGCACCAGCGTACGTAGTACGCCTGGGGTCATTCCTAATGGGCATGGGTACGTCGTACCCGGGCATTATCGTCTGATAATGCCCTGGTACGGTGCTGCTCTGATTGGCCAAATGCTAGCAACGACCTGACAACAGGCACGTGACATGTATGAAAGTATTGTACTATTATAGTATCTTGTACGATATTTATATGTGTATCTGTTTTGTTCCCTTTCTCTGTGCTTTATGTTCCTGGTTCTTGGTCTTTAGTTTGGTCTTTGTTAGTGCTTTGGTTTGACCAGTACTGTAATAATAATAATGTCCCAGAACATTACATTGGCGACGAAGATGAACTAGATTTAATAGTTATAGTCATATAGATGACCTGAGTAGGCCTCAGTGACAATGGCGCTCACAGGAGTAGGCCCGGCTTTGGAGCCGTTCGATCTCGAGGGTCCTGCCCATGAAGTTTCTGCAAGATGGCGCAGGTGGAAGAGATCATTCCAGTACTATGTGGATGGGCAGAACATAACATCCGCGAAGAGGCAGAGGAGTCTGTTGCTGTACTTGGCTGGTATGCCAGTACAGGAGAAATTCGAAACGCTAACAGAAGATGAGGATACCGACAATTTATTCGAGCGAGCTGTGAGTGCTTTGGACAAGGCTTTCGAGTTCGTGGCCAACAAGAGGTTCGAACGTTATAAGCTTCGTCAGATGTCACAACGGACTGGTGAAACAGTATCTCAGTTTTCGACCCGTTTGCTTGGGCAAGGCAAATACTGTGACTATGGCACCGACATGGAGGATCATGTATGCGACCAACTGCTCATAGGGATATCGGACAATCGCCTGAGAAAGAAATTGTTAGAAGTCGACGACCTCACTTTGGCGGTGGCCTTGAAAAAAGGTCGCGAGTATGAAACAACGGAGCAGCACGCACGTGATATGTCAACATCGACAAGTGCAAGTCACAGTGCAAGCCATGATGGGCATGGGTCTGGGTCCAGTTCGTACGGTACGGGTGAAGCTGCACCAGGAAGTGTGAATGCTGTGCACGGCGTACCCCAGCAAGAGTGTCACAACTGCGGAAAAGTTGGCCACTTCGCCCGCGACCGGAACTGTCCTGCACGTGGCCAAAGGTGTAGAAAGTGTGGCATAAACGGTCACTTCGCATCCAAATGCAACGGAGGTGACAAACAGCGTACAGGCAACACGCGTCACGCTCCCAAGTCGTCGGGAAAGGCAAGTAATAGTTTGTACAGAAAAGAAAATCACTCGGCAAATCAAATTCAAGATGTAGACGATTTTGTGTTTGGAGTGCGAGGAAGTAATTTGACACAGGCCTCTATCGATGTCAGCCTCAATAGTGTGTCGACGCGAGTGCTAGTCGATTCTGGAGCATCATGCAACTTGTTGGGAGAATCGACTTTGGGCCAGCTGCAATTGCAAGGCCTCGGTGTCACTTTGACGAAGTGCACCAGGAAGCTTTTCGCGTATGGAGCACACCAGCTGAATGTCGTCGGCAAGTTTACTGCAATTTTCCAATGCGGCTCAGAGCGCACTGAGGACGAAGTGATCGTCGTCAGAGGAGATGGAGAGTTCTTGCTGGGACGTAGTACTGCACTCAAGTTGAAGGCCTTGGTGCTACCTGACGTGAATCAAGTTGGCAGCGCCACAGCTAGCCCCAGTATCAACGATGAAATCAAGAATGAGTATCCTGGTGTGTTCAGTGGTGTGGGCAAGTTAATTGGCTACCAAGCACGTCTTCATGTAGACTCTGAAGTTCCACCTGTGGCCCAACGCCAGCGTAGGATACCATATGCGTATGAAACCAAGGTGGATGAAAAACTTCAGGAGTTACAGCAATCAGGAATTATTGAAGAAGCTGTGGGCCCGACGCCGTGGGTAAGCCCAATTGTGATAGCACCAAAGAAGCATGGCGACATCCGTTTGTGCGTGGATTTACGCCGGGTCAATGAAGCCATCGTCCGAGAACGACATCCGATGCCAACAACAGAGGAGTTGCTGCATGAAGTCAATGGCAGCACGGTGTTTTCGAAGATTGACCTGAAGTGGGGATTTCACCAAGTAGAGTTGGAAGAAGAGTCCCGCTACCTGACAACTTTTGCTGCAAATGGGAAGTTGTACCGGTTTCGTCGACTGCCATTTGGTATAAGTTCAGCACCAGAGCTGTACCAGAAGATCATCAGCGATGTGATCAAGGATTTGGCCGGTTGCAGAAACGGAGCTGATGATATCTTGCTACATGCGGACTCACTGAACCAGCATGATGTGAGGGTTCATGCATTGATGAATCGCTTGCAGCAGGTCAACCTCACAGTCAACCCAGCAAAGTGTGAGTTCGCTAAGAGCTCCATTGAGTTCTTCGGCTTGCAGATATCTGACAAGGGCATACAGCCAACTCCGGAAAGGATACGATCCTTGGCAGAAGCATCCAGGCCGAGCAATGCGTCGGAAGTAAGAAGCTTCCTCGGTACAGCCGGTTTCAGTGCAAAATTCATCCCTGATTTTGCTACAGTTGCTGAGCCACTGCGTCGCCTCACGGTCAAGGGAGCTCAGTTCAAGTGGACTACAGAGCAACAGCAAGCGTTCGACCACCTGAAGCGACTACTGGTGTCCAGCTCAACACTGGCATACTATGATGCTGAAGCGCCGATCGAGTTAGTGACGGATGCCAGTCCAGTTGGGCTCGGAGCTGTGCTTGTCCAGAAGCAGGATGGTGTTTGGCGGCCAGTTGCGTATGCGAGCAGATCACTGTCAGCGGTAGAGCGGAGGTACTCGCAGACCGAGCGAGAGGCTCTTGGTATTGTCTGGGCGTGTGAACGATTTCACACCTATCTGCTAGGCAGGGAGTTTACACTCTGCACCGACCACAAGCCGCTGGAAGTGATTTATTCGGCAAGATCCAAGCCCAGTGCCAGGATCGAGAGATGGGTCCTGCGCCTACAGCCGTACAGCTATCGAGTCAAGCACATTCCTGGAAAGACGAACATCGCTGACGCTTTATCTCGCCTGCCCGTTGCAGCGGCGGATCCAGGAATCAGCAGTGATGAAGAGTCGGTTAGACTTATCACTCAGACAGCAGCACCCATCGCTATCGGTATCAGAACGATTGAACGTAGCTCAGCTGAAGATGAAGAGCTATCTGCTGTTCGCAAGTGCCTTCATGACGGATCTTGGGATGGTCTGCCAGCAGCATACCGTCAGGTCCGAGGAGAATTGACTGTTGTTGGCAAGGTGGTGCTCAGAGGTCAACGCATTGTTATCCCTACAGAGTTGCGACACCAGACCGTGCAGTTGGCACATGAGGGCCACCAGGGCATCGTGAAGACGAAAGAGCATCTACGGTCCAAGGTTTGGTGGCCAGGCATGGATAGCGAGGCCGAGAAGCTCTGCAAGTCGTGTCATGCCTGCCAAGTGGTTGCAGCGCCAGCCAATGCACCGCCAGTCAAGTCCACTCCTCTTCCAGATGCGCCATGGCAGCATTTGGCTGTTGACTTGCTGGGTCCACTACCGTCTGGCGAGCACATTGTGGTGCTCGTGGATTACTACAGTCGATATTTCGAAGTAGATGTGGTCAAGTCAACATCAGCTGAAGCTGTGATTCCGATGATTGAAGCCCAGTTCAGCCGACACGGTATCCCGACGAGTTTGCGTACGGATAATGGCCCACCTTTCAACTCGGAAGGGTTTGCGAAGTTTCTACATGAGTGTGGTGTTCAACAGCTTCGTACTACACCACTGTGGCCGAGAGCTAACGGTGAAGTTGAGCGACAAAATCGATCCCTGATGAAAGTGATCCGTGCTGCATATGCGGAAGGAAAGACGTGGAAGCGGGAGGTTCAACGATTCTTGATGGCATACCGCTCAACGCCACATAGCACCACCGGAGTTGCTCCAGCTGAGTTATTGTTTGGGCGCAAAGTGCACTGCAAGTTACTAGCCCTCGGTGAACCAGCAACAAACGAGGCCGTCAGAGATCGTGACAGCGAGCGTAAGCAGAGTATGCGTGACTCTGCAGATGACGCCAACCATGCCACAAGCCAGTCAACGCAGATAGGTGACTCAGTACTGCTAAAGCGTTCGGAGACACGGTCGAAGGTCGACACACCATTCCATCACCAACCTCATGTGGTGGTTAGTCGGAATGGGGACCAAGTAGTGGTTCAGGCACCGGATGGGAAGCTTGTGCGGAGGAACGTACAGTTCACCAAACCATTCCGGCAGCAGCATCCAGCTGAACCTAGCCCCGAAGTGCAAGAGGCACCCCAGCATCGTGCGGAGCCCCGCAGGTCAGACAGGTTAAGCGTGAAATGCTAAGTAACCTGTCCGGCCCTTGTTCTGTTCTGCATTGACTAGGCTGTGTGACAGTTGTGTTTGACTGGTCGTTCGGCTAACAATGTATGAGCTTGCATTATACTGTATATTTACATATTTTATGACATGGATTGATAGAACGCTTTTGGTTATTCGTCGCGTTTTGGACAGCCTATTTTGGTTTATTTAGTTTGTTGAAATGCTACGTTGAAGTTTGCTATGGTCAGTATTTCTATGGACTGTAGTTGTAGACTTTCGAGAAAAGGAGGAATGTGATGTTGCAGGCCTCCTGGTTAATACTATATTATAGTATTGTACTATTATAGTATCTTGTACGATATTTATATGTGTATCTGTTTTGTTCCCTTTCTCTGTGCTTTATGTTCCTGGTTCTTGGTCTTTAGTTTGGTCTTTGTTAGTGCTTTGGTTTGACCAGTACTGTAATAATAATAATGTCCCAGAACATTACAATCACCACCAGCCGTCTCATCGTCATCCGCCGCCTCGTCATCACCCGCCTCGTCGTCATCTGTATCCTCGCCGTCATCCGCCTCGTCGTCATCTGTATCCTCGTCATCCGCCGCATCATCACCCAACTCATATTCACCACCAGTCAGTCGTCTGATACCATCCACGTTCTCCTTCCTACGTCTGTCCCGTGCCACTGTCCTTACCTCATCTGCGTCCCGAGATTGTGTTCCGTTTTGCCCCCGGCTTCCGGTCTCCTTCGATGCTCCGCGTGGGCCTTGGCCATTCCTAGCATATATTTCGGTTGAATAATTGGCGGTCGACCTCCGTGGTCTCTGGACCCACGGATCAAGCGCCTGAGGGTGCTGCGGTGTCCGCACAGCCGGATACTGTGTCGAAGAAATGGGATCAATTTCTGTGATTGGCGGTACTGTCGTTGTTGCCGACTCCTCCCCAACCCCAGCCACCAACGGCACTGGTGGTGGCTCCGGTGGCGGCAAGGGAAACGGTGGAGAAGGCACATTCGGTTGGCTTAGTGATTCACCACTCTTCCTCTGCACCGTGTGTTCGACTTGCTCTGGTTGTGTCAGTGGTAGAGGGAGCGGGTTCTTGCGTGGTCTTCCCCGCTTCGGGCGCTTCGCTTTTGCTGCGTCCGGCAGCATGTGAAGTGGCACATGCTGCTTGATACGTGCGCTCAGGTGTTGAAGGGTCCTACCAACGTACCGGCTATCACAATTCCGGCACTCAAATTGGTAGACCAAGTGGCTCAATAGGTGGGATGGTAGGACATCCTCACCGTGAACGCACGTGTCGTAGTGAACACAGGGATGAAGTGCGCCGCAAAGTATGTTTGTGTAACTAGCGTTTTGATTGTGCGGCACAATGTCTGTGATGCCTCTCCTTTCCAAGGTAAGGAAAGGTAGACTGGGCAACGACTTGGACCTATGATGACGACATTTGGTTTTGATGCTGATTTTAGTAGCTTGTTTAGCAGTTCCTCCGGGTAACCATTTTTGAGAAACAGATTTCAGAAAACCTAGCTCATCCTTGAGTCGAGAGGGGGAACAGATTCGCCGCGCTCTATCCACCAGATTCTTCACAAAGTTGACCTTATACAGGAAACACACAAAACCAAACCTTGAACAAATTGTCATGTTGCGTGGTGATGTCTGCGGCATTCATACTTTTCATAGCTATTATTCGATTTTGGTAGGAATTATGCGAAAAAATTATGCTAGCATAATCTGTCAAAGTCTAGTAGAGACATGGAAATAAGCCAGGCCAGGAGACGAAATATCCGAAACAGCTCATGCAAGAAGCAATTCCAAAGAAGGAAGTTCCTCGTGCATGCACATCCGAAAAGGCTGCTACATGTCTGCCATGCACACGCACGCGGCCGGCCACGCGATGGTAGGAGCCATGGCGCCATGGAGTACGAGCTCGTACATGGTCCAGGTACCGATCACCATGCGTAGAAACTTACGTAGACAACGTGTCTCAATAGCGATGTCGTTAGCTCTTACCATGTGAACACAATAATAGAAAAGCTGACAGGATCCCTTTCCTAAATGTATTTTTTCTATCAAACTTATCTTATCTTACCATGGCTTACCATGGCTTACCATGGCTGTCTGACGGCCACTTTACACTTGATGAAATGCTCATTTACATTGTTATGTCTTAGTGTTAGCTTGTAACTTGTTTCAGATTACATGTAGTAGTGTGACTGTTCCTGTACTGTCTTTTAACAGCCAACTTTCTATCATTCTTCTCCAACATGTACATCCCTGATGATGCCCTCTTGGGTGAAAATGTGGACAATTTCAACTATACGTGGTGTAGCCAAGGACTGTTTGTGTGTTGTGAGTTGGGTATACGGAAAATATGACAAGGCTATAGTGGAGTTTCAAAGTTCTTAAAAAACTTATCTGCTTCTGTGTATGTTTAACAGTATAGTGATTTCCGGGTCAGTTTCCTCCTGTTCGTCCTTTGATTAATTGTGTACTTAAGACTGCAGACTGTATCCTTTAGTACAGAGTTTTCCCTTCAATCGTCGTGACGTCATTACACATAACACTGTAGACATAACAACCCAGTGGCATTGAGTTCAGAATGGAAACCTTTACACAAGAGAGAGATTGGAAGCTTTGTTACAACTCTAAGTTTCACGTATTACTACGATCATCAGGCAACCTTTACCAATAGAATACACAGTCTTGAGATCCAGAGCCAGCTCCTGAAGGGTTGTATGACCCCAGGACCAGGTGGATTACAGGGACACTCATTTGCCAATACCCAATTTCAGCACCATGGGAGTATAGTCAGTATTGCCTGTAGCGTTGGTGTTTGATTTTGATAATGCGATAATATTACTATGACCGATACTGCATGCAATGTATCATTGTATGCGAGTGGGGTGTCAAACGACTCAGCGCGCCGTGCACATACGCACTACATACAATCATGTACAATGTCATGTAGCTGGCTGTAGCTCCTGACACACAAAATCAGGATTTCCTCATGATGGAGGCATATTTTGGCAACTTGTACAAGCAAAACTCACCAAACAACACTCACTGGACAAGTTCTTCACGAAGAAGTAACACCCTGTTCTCCTCTGACATCGCTGGATTTTACATCAATCACTATAACCGATGTATGCATCTCTAGCTCTGTGCGGTATTCGTCTGGCAGTTCCAGCTACATATTGGGCCTCCAGCCACAGACACAGCTCCCACATTTGCAGCGGATCACGTTAGGAATCATTTCCTTCTTACATGACGTGTAGAAAAAGACATTTTGTCGGAGATTCTCCCACATATCCACTATGAGATAAACAGCAATGTAGAATACAGACTTCACTGTATGTAAACTATGCTACACATCAACACTGTCTAACTGCATCGTCACACAATCAACCACTACATTGACTAAGAGTGATCACGTGACATTCATGGACATTATCATTGCTAGTATCATTTTACAAAAGCTACGTAGAACACAGAAACGCAGTGCACACTATCACGTGACGGAGATTGGCTCAATCATGGTCAATGACTCAGAGCAACTCACTCTACAGAGTTTGGGCAGATTTCAATGTTTGCCAAATTAAAGACCGAAAATGGCCGGAGAAACATTCTTTACTGGTATGGAGTCATAATTTCACGACATTCCTGTTTGGCCATTGCTGTTGGAAATGAACAGATCTGGGTAGTGTGGTTGAACACAAACTTCGTAACTACACGTACCTGATTGTAGTATGTAAGTTTCATGATGACAGTGTGAACAAGGTGGACTACCCACTGTATGGGAAAACAGTACTCCAGGCTCACTGCAACCATGCACCGGTTGCCGGGTAGGGTCTCGATCCTGTGCCCATTTGAACCGTATGGGGCTATACCCCTGTTCAGACACTGATTACTCTATTGGAGCATTACAGGAATATTCCCTGATCTCGTGGTTCAAATTGTCGCAAGACCGGGCCCGCCAACCAGTTTATGGTTTCAGTCAGGAACACTGTTTTCCTATACTGTGGGTCCTACGCCTTGTTCACGCTGTCATAGTGAAAACATGGGCCGACTCAAGTGGTACCGAATACTACCGAGTCCCTGGAATGGAGTCAGTGACTCACTGGTTCATTCATTGACACATCTATGATCTACATCCTGTCAAAGTTGTCACGGCAATGACATCATGTGTGCAACGAAAACTAATTCAGTTTTTCACAGTTGTTTCCTTCTTTGAATGAATGGAATTTTATGACCATGTACCAGCTGGAAGTGTGTTGGTCAGTGTATCCAAGACGTGATCGAGGCAAACGTCAGGTCGTTGAACGTCAGTATCATCAGTGAATATTGTGGCAAATGTAACACGTTCTGACCCGTACATCATCTTGGAAATAAGTTAGTGGACAACAACGCATACTGCGGTGTAAACCTTTGGTCCTTTCCTTCTTCTAAGTAATTCTACTCTAATCTTGGCTTCAGATCAGACTGGCAAAGAGCCATGCTTCTCTCACCACCATCATCTATACTTTACGCACGTGGCCTAGTAGATGCATGGCTGATGATACTCACATAGCTGACTGATACCTGTACATCAGGTAGTGTCTGGTGCATAGGCGAACACTCATCCACGACTTGGCTGGTATTGTGACGTAGGTTTCGTGCCTCCAGGACTCATTGCTCACTGTGTGATCAACCATGCGTAAGCTGCACTACAGTGTATACGTTATGAGTGTGATGTAGCAGTTAGCTATGTGCATATCACCAGACATTCATCCACATGATGCTATACGCAAACAGAGCAGAGTAGGAATGGGTGATTAGGATAATGATGTACATGTATGCAGTCCTGGAATAGAATCGGCCTGCGACAGACCACCTATAACTCTTGATCAATTACAGGCAAGGTTTGCTAGAGCTCTACTGAAAAAGAAAAAAATTGCATTTGATTACACTTCTTCCAAATATGTCTTAAATTCTAAATGCTCCCTAGAGTCACTAGCCTATCGTCGTCAAATCATCAGTCTCACT